CTCTCTGCCATGTATGCTGTGTCTCATAGTGATGAGGGTGACTGCTACCGCTGTTTCCCGCCCGATCCGGGCATTGAGGCTGCTGCCCTAGGTGCTTGCGACGCTGCTGCTCTAGGTGCTAGTGTGTCTGCGTCCTCAGGTACTGGTGAGTCTGCGCTCTAAGGTACTACGTCGGCTTCGGCCTCCCTCACCTTCACTCTTGACTCTGGGGCGTCTCGCTCCTTCTTTCGGGACCGCACCACACTCACGCCGCTTAGTCGGCCGGTTGCGGTGTCTCTGGCTGACCCCTCCGGGGGTCCTGTACTGTCTCGCTTCTCCACAGTCCTCCCGTGTCCGGCGTCTCCTACTGGCACCCTGTCTGGTCTCTACCTCCCCTCGTTCTCGACAAACCTGGTGAGTGGTGCTGACCTACAGGATGGGGGAGTACACCAGTTCACTCCTGCGCGTCAGCGGGTGACGCACTGCACAGAGGCTAGCACAGGCCGGCACCTCGCTACGTTTACCCGTCAGCCGGGGTCGAGCCTGTACACACTGACCACTGCGTCTCCTCCCGTTACTGAGCCTGGTAGAGTCGCTTTGTCTGGTCAGGTGTTTGCTGCAGCGTCTAGGTCTGGTCCTGAGTCTGCCCCCTGTTCGTGTCGTCTCTTGTCTCATGAGACTCTCCTCTTGCACCACCGTCTTGGTCACCCCTCTCTGCTTCGGCTCAGAGGCATGGCCTCCCGTCTTCTTGTGTCTGGTCTCCCCCGGTCCCTCCCTCCCCTTCCTCAGGGCCCTGGCCCTGCCTGTGTCCCCTGTGTCGAGGGGCGCCAGCGGGCTGCCCCTCACTCCTCCCAGTTTCCTCCGACAGAGGCCCCGTTGCAGACGCTTCACATGGACGTGTGGGGCCCGGCCCGCGTCCGTGGACAGGGTCACGAGCGCTACTTCCTGCTCGTTGTTGACGACTACTAGCGTTACACCACGGTCTTCCCCTTGCGCAGCAAGGGTGATGTCACTGAGGTGCTGATCGACTGGATCTGCGCGGCTCGTCTCCAGCTCAGGCGGAGCTTTGGCTCGGACTTCCCTGTTCTGCGTCTGCACTCTGACCGAGGCGGAGAGTTCTCCTCTGGCCTACTGCGAGCCTACTGTCGCGCACGAGGCATCCGACAGACCTTCACGCTTCCGGACTCACCGCAGCAAAATGGGATTGCTGAGCGCCGCATTGGCATGGTCATGGACGTCGCTCGTACGTCTATGATGCATGCGGCTGCCCCCCATTTTCTGTGGCCGTTTGCGGTCAGGTACGCGGCGCATCAGATCAACCTCAACCCCAGGGTCTCCAGGCCAGAGACCTCCCCAGCCTTACTGTGGATGGGGAAGGTTGGCGATGCGTCGGCGTTCCGGGCCTGGGGATCTCGGGCGTTTGTCCGCGACTTGTCTGCGGACAAGCTGTCCCCTCGTGCTGCTCCTTGCGTCTTCCTGGGGTTCCCCCCTGACGCGCCTGGGTGGCAGTTCTACCACCCCACCTCTCGACGTGTTCTGTCCTCCCAGGACGTCACGTTTGACGAGTCGGTCCCCTACTACCGCCTCGTCCCCTACCGCACTCCGTCCCTCCCCCCACCCCCGCTCTTTCTTGTACCAGGTCCCCCCCAGGTAGACTCCCTCCCCCCTCAGGGTCCTGCCCCTTCAGGTGTGTCCCAGGTAGACGCAGTCGAGCCTGTCGAGGTCACTGGTGACTCTGGTGCTGCTGGGGGTGCTGAGCCTGGGGGTGCTGGACCTGGGGGTGCGGAGTCTGGGGGTGCTGAGCCTGGGGGTGCTGAGCTTGGGGGTGCTACGCCTAGGGTTGCTGAGCCTGGAGGTGCTACGCCTGGGGGTGCTGAGCCTGGAGGTGCTACGCCTGGGGGTGCTGAGAGTGGAGGTGCTTCGCCTCGAGGTTCTCCGGGTGCTTCTTCTCGCCGGGAGCCACTCTCTCCACAGGAGCTGCGCGAGTGGTTTGCCCGGCGCTGGCGCCGTACTGCTGGTGCAGGAGGTTCTTCGGCTGCTGAGGGTGCTGCGGTCGCGGGTCCCGGAGGTGCTCGTACTGGGAGTACTGGAGCTACTGGGCCTACGGGTTCGACTGGAGCTGGTGCTACTGAGGTTGTTGGCGCTGAGACTCCCGCTGGCGGTCCTACTCGGGGTGCTCCTGGTGCTGCTGGAGGTGCTGCTGGAGTGGGTACTCCTGCTGAGGGTACTGGTGCTGTCCCTGCTGCTTCTGGCGTTGTCACGCGGCCTCGACCGTACTTTGTTCCACTCCTGCAGCAGGTTCTTGGTCTTCCTCCTTCTACTGGTCCTCCTCCTCCCTCAGAGTGTCCAGAGCCTGTCCCGTCACAGTCACAGCTACAGCGTGCCTCCCCTCTGCCTGCTCCTTCTCCCTACGCTCGTCCTACTGGAGGTCTTACTGAGCGTCGTGAGCCTGCGTCCCGTCCTGCGTCGCCTGTTAGAGCTGCTCGTGCTAGTGGTCGCGGTTCGCGCCAGCGTCCTCCTCCTATCCCTGGCACGTACCGGATGTCTCTGCGTCCGTCTACTACTCTTCTGCGTGCCCCTTTGCCTTCCCCTCCTGAGTCCTCTCTTCCTGCACTTGCCGACCTTGAGTCGGACTCTCTTCGTGCTGCCAGTCCTACTGTCACGCGTCTCCTTGCTACTGTTATCACTGACCCTTCTTTCGAGTCTACTGCTGCGTCTGCTCTCGTTACTGAGCTCGTCGACTTTGCTGCTCGCTGTCGCTTAGACTACGCTGCTAGTCTTGTCGCTGAGTCTGAGTCTGTCTGTCCTCCGTCCGTCGGGGGTGAGTGTGCCCTTGGCACGGACGTCCTTGAGGACAGGCAGGAGGAGTTCCAGTGTCTGGCAGCTGCTTCACCTCATCTCGTGTCCGTACTGCTTACCCCTGAAGGAGACCCGGATGCACTTGACATCCCGACTCCGCGCTCTTACGCGGAGGCGATAGAGGGTCCCTACTCCTCTCAGTGGCAGGCAGCTATAGATGCAGAGATGGCTTCCTGGAAGTCCACAGACACCTACGTTGACGCTGTCCCCCCTCCTGGGGCGAACATCGTCAGTGGCATGTGGATCTTCAGGGTGAAGAGGCCGCCGGGCTCTCCGCCTGTCTTCAAGGCGCGTTACGTGGCTCCTGGCTTCAGTCAGCGGCAGGGAGTCGAGTACATTCAGACCTTCTCCCCCACCCCGAAGATGACCACTCTTCGGGTACTGCTGCACGTTGCTGCTCACCGTGACTACGAGCCGCACTCTCTTGACTTCAGCACAGCTTTCTTGCAGGGCAGCCTGCACGAGGAGATCTTGCTGCGTCGCCCACCTGGCTTCACTGGGTCTTTCCCTCCTGGTACCCAGTGGAGTCTCCGGCGTCTAGTCTACGGTCTCCGCCAGGCGCCACGTGAGTGGCACGACACACTGAGGACTACGCTTGCGGCTCTTGGGTTTGCTCCTTCTACTGCCGACCCGTCGCTGTTTCTGCGCACCGACACCTCTCTGCCGCCGTTCTACATCCTCGTGTACGTCGACGACTTGGTCTTTGCCACAGCTGACACTGCTGGACTCGCCTACGTGAAGTCCGAACTGCAGAAGAGACACACGTGCACAGAACTGGGTGAACTGCGCAGCTACCTTGGCTTGCAGATCACCCGGGACAGAGCACGCCACACCATTACCCTGACTCAGTCACACATGGTGCAGCAGGTCCTTCAGCACTTCGGCTTCACGTACTCCTCGCCTCAGGCCACTCCTCTGTCTACTCGCCACTCGCTCTCAGCTCTGCCTTCGGATGAGTCCGTAGATTCGAGTGGCCCGTACCCAGAGCTTGTTGGCTGCCTCATGTACCTGATGACCTGCACACGACCTGACCTTGCATACCCTCTTAGCATTCTCGCACGCTATGTTGCTCCTGGGAGACACCGACCAGAGCACATGGCTGCAGCGAAGAGGGTGTTGCGCTACCTGTGCAGTACGTTGGGCATGGGGCTAGTGCTTGGAGGGCGGAGTCCAGTGGTCCTCACTGGGCACGCGGACGCGTCTTGGGCTGACGACCAGGCTACGCAGCGGTCGTCACAGGGTTACACCTTCAGCCTTGGTTCCGGCTCTGTTTCGTGGCGGGCTACTCGCTCGTCTTCTGTTCTTGGCTCCAGTTGTGAGGCTGAGATCTACGCCGGGGCCATGGCTGCACAGGAGCTTCGCTGGCTCACCTACCTGCTGACTGACTTTGGAGAGCCGCCTCGTTCTCCTCCAGTCCTGTACGTAGACAACAAGGCCATGCTGGCCTTGTGTCGAGAGCAGCGACTGGAGCACAGAACGAAGCACATTGCTCTCCGCTACTTCCTTGCTCGTGAGCTACAGCAGCGTGGACAGTTGCGGCTTGCGTACGTGGCCTCTGAGGCCAACACTGCTGATGTCTTCACCAAGGCACTTCCGCCTTGTGATCATCAGCGCTTCTGCACTCAGCTGGGTCTTGTGCCCGTCTTGCCTCACTTGCTCTCCTCTTGACCTTGCTTGTACTCTCACATATATATATACCTGCTCTTGCTTGCCTAGCTTTATATATATGTGTGTACTCTTGCATGTGAACTGGCCGTGTGGCCGTGACCCTGTGCTCGGACTGTGTGGTGACTTTGTGATCCACCTTGAGCTTGCTTTGCTTTGCTTTGCTTGACTGGTCTTGTGACCCCTTGTTCTCCCCCACTTTGCCTATGGGGGTGTGTCAGAACATTATAGCTTATGCTGTTGTGTAGGCTATAGTGGGGTATCCCATAGGGGGTACAACCAATTAGGGTTTCATATTTGTACTCACTTCGTTTCATAGTTCACCCATTCTCGTTCTAATCTTCTCAGGATTGGTTACTGTAGTTATAGCGTTTTCCTATTTGGGGGTGCACCTTTCTTGCTTGTTCTCTCATATTTGTACCCTTGAACCTCATTCTCTCGACTCTTTTTCACCTTTTTCAACTTTTTCGAACTCAACTCACTCGATCTAACTAGCCATGGCTCCTAAGCCCTACGGCCCCGTCGCCTACCTGTGGCCTTACGGCCCCGCACGCGGCCCCCTCAGGTCACCTCGACAGGTGCCGGGAGGGGCGACCTGGAAGGGGGGGGCAGGCGTCGCCCCCTCTGCAGCCTGCTTTGGCGCCCGGGGAGGCCGTGCGTCGCCCCCCCCCCCCCCCCCCCCCCCCTCTCTCCTCCTCCTTTTGTTCCCGCTGCTGCAGCTGCCGCTGGGGGGGAGGGTGTGAGGGTGTGGGGGAGCCCGGGGAGTGGCCCTGGGGTGGCGGGTGTGAGACCACCCAGCAGCCGTCCCTCCACCTCTCCTCTCTTCCCCCCTCTGCTGCTCCTGCAGCAGTTTGTGGGGGAGGGGGAAGGGGAGGGGGAGGGTGGGAGGGTGTGAGGGTGTGGGGGAGCCAGGGGAGTGGTATTATTGAAACACTTTTCTCCTCCTGCACAATCGTGATGTACCCCTTCAGAGGGCGCTAACTGCATACTCATCTCCTACAGCCAGTTATAAGGGCGTGTCGGAAAATATAATTTAATATTTTCTATATGTAACTGCCTGTAGGATTGGTTACTGTAGTTATAGCGTTTTCCTATTTGGTGGTGCACCTTTCTTGCTTGTTCTCTCATATTTGTACCCTTGAACCTATAGTGAAACCCCTCATTCTCTCGACTCTTTTTCACCTTTTTCAACTTTCTCGAACTCAACTCACTCGATCTCTCTAGCCATGGCTCCTAAGCCTTGCTAGAACTTTAACAAGAAGTAATATTTTTCGTTAGAGTATCTTTATAGGATACTCTTAACGAATTCTTACTTTAGAGGGTGTTTGGCTGGAGTTTCCCGGTCGGTGCAGAGTCTTTTTTCGCGGAGCCTCCATTCACCTCGGCGATTTCCCCTGATGCCGGCCGATCGTGACATTTTAGATTCGCGCTAGCTTTTTCTCCTTTTTTCACCCGCTCCAAAGCCGCCACGTCGTCGCCTTTTCCTGATTTTCGGATCTTTACGCGATCGCCAGGTCGATCCGCGGCTACTGGCGATTCCCGTTTTTTGACTTCAGAGGTGCTCCACTGTTACCGTCCCGGAGTGCCGCACGTGCTTTCTTGATTTTGTAGCACGACAAAAAGTGATGCCCTGCTGCGCCGCAAAACTCACATTTTTTCGGCTGCTGCTTCGCGTCGTATTTGTCGATATCCATCGGTTCGACGAATGTGGGGGGTGCCGATCGCTCCGTGCCGAATGTACGGTTTGGCGTGAAGCGACGTGTTTCGGGTTGACCTCGAGTCAGCGCATCGTATCGCTCGGTAGCACGCACGATGTCGCGATAGTTGTTGTAATTCGCCGCTATCACCTGCCGCCGAATCTCCAATTTTAACCCTTCTGTGTACGCCTGGATTTTTTCGCCTTCGGTCAGGTCGGTGATGTGGTTGAACAGTAGCTCCATCTGCTGCGTGTACTGAGCTACACTACTGTATTGCTTGTGTCGGTGTATCTGCTGCCGCGCCATGTAGGTCGTATTTATCGGTTCGAAACGCTTGATTAAATCTGCCCGAAACTGCTGCCACGTTTTCTCCCGGTGAGCTACGTCGGTGCAGTAAATCCATTCGAGTGCCGGTCCACGTAAAAGTTTCGCCGCGAGCCGAATCCTTGCTGCGTCGTGTTGCGGGGTCGAACAGCCAATGGCCTCGAAGTAAATTTCGAGGGTTGCCACGAATCGCCGGACGTCGGATCCCTTCGCGCTGGGATCGAACGCTTCAGGGAGCCTCGGTCGTGCTGCTTCAAGGTTCGTCGACAGTGGTGCCATCTGTCCGTGAAATGTCGGTGTCGCCACTGCTGCGGGTGGTGCTGCTGCTACGTTCGCTGCTGCATTCGCTGCTGCTGCGGTGGCGATTCCTGATTGGTGTGTTAGAAGGGCCTCGAGTCATCGTAGCGCCGGCTGCGTCTGCTCCATGTCGGTGCGGAGGCTCGTGATATCGCTCGTGGTCACATAGTTGTCGCCTTGGCCCTCCATGCCTGACATTACGCGTCCGAAAAAAACCGAAACGATGGGGAGCGAAAAACACGGAACCGGTTTTACGTACCCGAAATCGATGTTTAAGTGCGTCGCCCCCGCGGTTTTTGAAGACTCGGTCTTAGCGGTCGAAAGACTTTTGCGTGTAAACGGGCTCTGATTACCAAGTGTGAGGATCTGGGATCGAGCTCAGAAAAGAGAGTTTGAATTGAATAAACACCTGGGTACAACACGAGGCTATATATAGGCTCGACACAAGGCCCAGTAACCAGGTGTTACGCGAAGGTTCCGCGGGTCGCGAAGCGTCCCGAACAGATCCTTCCCGAATTCGGTAGAAGGCGATTCGGTGGCAACCGAAAAGCCAGAATTCGGTGCACGCAACCTAGCTCGGTGCTATAACTATAATAAAATATAGGAAAGCACCTAGCCTAGGAAACCAAGCAATTCATGCATGCATATGATTATCCTATGCTAGAAATAGCATGATGAAGTAAAGGCAAGCAAGCATAGCTGGCATAAGCCGTCGTACTCTCACAGTCCCGGTCTGAGAAAATGTGAACGAGAATGAATGACTAAGGAATGGAAGTGATACAAATATGCAACCCTAGAAATGTGTACCCCATATGGGCTACCCCACTATAGCCTACACAATATTATAATTTGACACACCCCCATAGGCAAGGTGGGGGAGAACAAGGGGTCACAAGACTAGTCAGGCAAAGCAGACAAAGCTCAGGGTGGATCACAACGTCACCACACAGTCCGAGCACAAGGTCAAGGCCACAAGGCCAGTTCACATGCAGGATTACACATATATATATAAGGCTAAAGGTTGGTCTGATGCGCCGCGTACCGAACCGCAAACGGCCACAGAAAATGGGGGGCAGCCGCATGCATCATGGACGTACGAGCGACGTCCATGACCATGCCAATGCGGCGCTCAGCAATCCCATTTTTCTGTGGAGAGTCCGGAAGCGTAAAGGTCTGGCGGATGCCTCGCGCACGACAGTAGGCTCGCAGAAGGCCAGAGGAGAACTCTCCGCCTCGGTCAGAGTGCAGACGCAGAATAGGAAAGTCCGAGCCGAAGCTCCTCCTGAGCTGGAGACGAGCTGCGCGGATCCAGTCGATCAACACCTCAGCGACATCACCCTTGCTGCGCAAGGGGAAGACTGTGGTGTAACGCGAGTAGTCGTCAACCACCAGCAGGAAGTAGCGCTCGTGACCCTGTCCACGTACGCGGGCCGGGCCCCACACGTCCATGTGAAGCTTCTGCAGCGTGGCCTCTGTCGGGGGAAACTGAGAGGAGTGAGGGGCAGCTCGGAGCCGCCCCTCGACACAGGGGACACAGGAAGGACCAGGCCCCGGAGGAAGGGGAGGGAGGGACCGGGGAAGACCAGAGACAAGGACACGGGAAGCCATGCCTCGGAGACGAGGCAGGGAGGGGTGACCAAGACGGTGGTGCCAGAGGAGAGTCTCGTGAGACAGGAGGCGACACGAGCAGGGGGCAGACTCTGGACCAGACCTGGACGCTGCAGCAAACACCTGACCCGACGCAGCTACCTGACCAGACGCAGTGACAGGAGGAGACGCAGTGGTCAGTGTGTACAGGCTCGACCCCGGCCGACGTGTAAACGTGGCCAGGTGTCGGCCTGTCCGAGCGTCCGTGCAGTGGGTCACCCGCTGACTCGCAGGAGTGAACTGGTGAACCCCCGTATCCTGCAGGTCAGCACCACTCACCAAGTTTGTAGAGAACGAGGGGAGGTAAAGACCAGACAAGGTGCTAGAGGGGGCAGCCGGACACGGGAGGACAGTGGAGAAGTGAGAGAGGACAGGACCCCCAGAGGGGTCTGCCAGGGAGACTGCAACTGGCCGACCAAGCGGCGTGAGTGTGGTGCGGTCTCGAAAGAAGGAGCGAGAAGCCCCTGAGTCAAGTGTGAAGGTGAGGGAGGCCGAAGCCGACGTGGTACCTGAGAGCGCAGACTCACCAGCACCTGAGGGCGCGGACGCACTGGCACCTAGAGCAGCACCCTCACCAGTACCTAGAGCAGCAGTACCAATGCCCGGGTTGGGCGGGAAACACCGGTAACAGTCACCCTCATCACTAATAGTCACAGCATACATGGCAGCAAGGATAGCATCAAAGTCAAGATCAAAGATAGCTACGCCTGCCCTAGATAGCTCTCCCCAGTGGGGGATCTCACTAGCCTCCGGGAACTGCTAACGCCAAGCGTCCGTCAGGCGGCCAAAGCAGCGCTGGGTGGGGTGAGCACCCCCACACTGCTCACCCGCGTGGTCGTCGGAGCGGAGGACGTAGGTGCACGGGCCAAAACCCCCACCACGCTGACGCTGCGTGTACCACTCACGGAACTGCTGAGGAGGGGGGATGTCCCGAGAACGCTGCTGCTGCTGCTGCTGCTGCTGGCGCTGACCACTCCCGGAGCCGCTCCGCTGAGAAGTACCACCCCGACCAGCTCCACCTCCTCCACCACCGCCGCCTCCACCTCCGCCGCCACCGCCGCCTCCGCTCCCACCGCTACCGCCACCGCCGCCTCCGCCTCCGCCGCTACCACCGCCACCTCCACCCCCGCCACCACTCCCACCGCCACCCCCACTCCCCCCGCCGCCCCCTCCGCCACCTCCACCACCCCTGCTAGCCCCACCCGCGCCCTTGCCCCCCTTGCCCTTGCCAGAGCGGCGTCTCCCGCTAGGGGCAGACGCCGCACCGACCGACTCAAGACCAACGAGGTTGGCCGCAGCAGCAGAGGCGACAGAGGGCAACAGGGGGGAAGGGGAACACCCCTCAAAGATGGGGGTGCGAGGGTCACCACGAGAGGCTCCTACAGCGACTATGCTCTTCTCCGCTGCGAGGAGGGCCTTCTCTAGGAGGTCAACAGTGAGAGTGGTGGGTCAGACTGAGAGGAAGTGGTCCCTGACTACGCGAAGGGAGTCAGGGAGGCGAGTGACTATATAATAGAGAGTGATGTACATGGGGGGGGGATTCTTGGCGCAGAACTCAGCAGGAAGTGCGGCGCGGTAGCGAGTGTCACTAGTGCGGAGGTGCGTAACGAGGTCAGCGACTGTGGGAAAGGCAGCAAGGTCAGGAAAGAGGTACGGTAGCATGAGGCGGCTCAGTGCAGCAGTGGCAGGGGAAGAGTAGCGCGCAACTACAGCGTCGTATAAGGTGTGAGCACTCTTGTACTGACTAAAGTGCGCGCGCTCAGAGGTAGGCAGGTGGCGACGCACAGCAAGACGTGCAGCAGCATCGCGCGTGGCCCACTGGGAGCGAACAGTGGGGTCAGCATCAGCAGCAGGGGCAGGAGAGGCGCCAGAGGTGAGGTCAAAGAGGGAGAGACCGTCTGCCCTATCGCACTGTAAGAAGAGCTGCAGG